GTTTTAGGGTTCAGGGTTTAGGATTTGGGGGGTTTCCGAAAGCTAGGGACCCTAATATAGTACCCTGAATAATAGGATCCCTATTATAAGGACCCCAAAATAAGGTACCCTAATTTTCTGAAACTCCCACTTAGCGGCCCCTGGAGGTGCGGATGGTTTTCGAGTCTGCCTTGGAGCTAATGTCCGAGACCAAGGTGCGGCTGGTTTAAGGTTTAGGGTTTAGGGTTTAGGGTTTAGGGTTTAGGGTTTAGGGTTCGGAAATGTGTTTCTTCGATTGCCTAATAAGGTTTGGGCTTTAGGGTTTTAGGGTTTAGGGTTTGGGGTTTAGGGTTTCCCAGGGGTTTAAACCCCAAGCTCCAAACGGTTTTGATGCTTTTCTTTCGCTCTTTAAGAAAGGTTTGTGCTATTGTGTCTATTGTTCCTGTTCTGATTTTCAGAAAGATGACTGTTATTGCTCTTGTCGTTCGGGTGTTGCACTTTTCTGACTAATGCCACATATTGTCATCGTTGTAGCTCGTCATCTTAGTTTCGTTCTCGGGGGCTCGTGCCAGCTATTGATAGCATCGTCATTCATGGCTTTTGCACCGGTTTCGTGTGTACAGCACCATGTGAAGCACGGCGTTGCCATTTCTAAATTGACAGCAAAGGACTGTCCATTTCCCCTAAACCCGCAATCGGTAAGTGTCTGCATGTGTTCTTGATTCTTCGTTGCAGCAAGCAGTTGGCCGACTCAAGCTATTGTAGTGGCCTTATGGTACCCTTGTAGTACAAGTCGCTGTAAACCCGAAACCCTAAACCCTAAACCCCGAACCCCTAAACCTCCAAACCCGAAACACCTCTTAACCCTAAACCCTTAAACCCAGTGAACAATGTGCAGAAGGGTCCATGGGGTGAAGATGTGCGAAAATGTGGGCAGGAAGGGCCGCATGCTGTTTTATAATTGTCGTATCTCATATTCTGTTTCAACGGGTATTGTCTAACTCTGCAAGTGATGTGGGTACAACTTGAATTAGGTTTCTAGACTCCTTTATAGTAGAATTATAATAGGGATGCCTAAAAATAACATTGGTCATCATTTAGGGTTTTATATAAGAGTACCTTCGTCATTCGTTGTGATTTCTATACAGGTCTGGGTGCTTTAGTAAACAGTTTAGGGTTTAGGGTTTAGGGTTTAGGGTTTAGGTAAGAGTGTCCTCTTATGGCCCTTATATGGTTACGCCACAATCTACCGCCAAAACACATTTTAATGATCCAGGCCCTTCTGGAAGGGCTCGGTCAATCTGCACTGAAGCTTAGTTTCGCGCATGAAGCCGTAGGCCCTAAACGAGATCCGCAGTCCACGCTTGCATGCAGGTCGGCTCCTTTTCGATGAGCGGCGGCGGTGGTGGTGGAATCTCGGCTTCAGCGCAAGAGCTCTCAACTGTTGGTTGTTTGTCTTGGGGTATGGTATCGGGTTCAGGGTTTAGGTTTCAAGGGCTAAGTGCACAGGCATTAGGCTTTGGGCTTTCGGGTTTAGGACCTTAGCAAGCAGTCTTGGGAATCCATGCCAACAAATCATCATCGTCATCATCATCCTCGTCATCATGGTTACTATGATCATCATGTGACCATCATGGTCAGCATGGTCATCATATTCATCGTTGCCATCACCATCCCCATCCCCATCCCCATCCCCATCGCCATCACCATCACCATCACCATCACCATCATCATCATCATCATCATCATCATCATCAGTGTCATCATCATCATCATCATCATCATCACCAACAATACCGTAAACCCTAAACCGTAAACCCAGACCCTGAACCACCACCAGCTACCGACCGCGTGTGGGACCCCCTAGCCCTGAACCCCCGAAACCCAAGATTAGCTTTGGAAAGGGTAAGGACTTTGCTGTCAGGGGGCTTTGGGTGTAGGGTCTACGGATTCAGTGGTTTAGGGTCCAAAAGTGTAGGACTGAACGGTTCGGGATTCGGGGTGTAGTGCTCCGGGTCTGAACCCCGGAGAACCACCTGAAGCGACTGCTGCAATAAACTCGGATCGTGTCCCCGGTGCTGGGGCTGGACACGAAAAATGCTTAATATAGAATGTGAAAAATCTTGATTCCTGATTGATTTGCATTCTGTTTACCCACCGTAAAATGATTCTGGGCTCCTGCATTAAGTTTGCCAAGGGAGCGGGATTCTCAGCCAGGGCTTCACATTGTTCTAAGCGCCTGAAAGCACAGAAAGCTTTCATCCGGGCCTAGTTGCCGGATGGTGTTCAGAAGATCTCCGCCAGCATGCAGGCCAATATGGAGTTAAACGCGACCGACCTTGCAATCCTGCGGAGAAACGTCAAAGCTTCCGCGTAGCCTGCCAGCGATAAGTTTCGGTACGTAAACCTCAGAGCAAGCCGTAAACCCGAGGCATGCCCATCGGTAGCTGAAAGTTGAACTTAAGTACTCCGCCTAACATGAAGCAGCCAAGCTTTCCCGACCAGTGCGACGCCCCACAGTTGCTCTGTGAGGCCTTATCAAGATCCATATCCTAAGCTCTAAGCCCCAAGCCCGAGATCCTACCTCCAGCTTTAACGATGAACTAGTAGGTTATGACCCCCTAAACCCTAAACCCTNNAAAAAAACAAAAAAACAAAAAAAACAAAAAAAAAGCGGGTACGTCGATCCCTGAGCCCCTCGACCCCCCCCCCAACTAGAGGAACCCGAAGCTCACAGGTGCCCCAAACGTTAATCCAGGCCAAAACCCTAAACCCCAAAATCCCCAAACCCCGGGTTTGGGGTTTAGGGTTTTGGGGTTTGGGGTTTTGGGGTTTTGGGGTTTGGGGTTTAGGGTTTAGGGTTTAGGGTAGAACCCTGAACACTAAACCCTGAACTCTAAACCCTAAACCCCAAACCTTAAGCACTACAGTTATAAATAGGGTTATAATTGGGGTAGCTCCCTTTAGGGTACTTATAACTCTACTAATAACCTACTTACTAAGTCCCCCAGGGCCTCCAAGTAGATTCACATCCTGAAGGAATGCCTCCAGCAGTCCGCTCCATGATCTCCATGCTGACAGGTCAGCGGGAGGCGCGTGCAACCACCCCCCTCCTAGCAACATTACCAAGAGGATCTCTCTCTCTCTCTCTATATATATATGCATATATATATATATTACTATTTTGGAATTAGGGTTTAGGGTTTNNTTAGGGTTTAGGATTTAGGGTATAGATACTATTACTCTTATGGAATTGGGTTCCCAGAGCCATACTAGGGATGATCTTTTGGGACCTCGGGGTTATCATGAGCAATCACATCTTAGGGTGCAGCATTTAGGCTTCGCATGGTAACGATATGGATGTTCATGGAGACGGGTTAATGCTGGTAGTTGTAGTAAAGGTGATCATGGTTGCGACTAGCTTCCAACAGCCAGGAGACTTTCATGGGTGTTCGAGTTCCATCAACTAGCCCAGGATGTTGGATGAATTGATGGGGTTCTGGTTTCGGCGTTCATGGCTGCCAGCCCCAACATCTCAGTGCATAATCTTGAGGTCTTATTGGTGTTCAGGGCAGCACCCCCCC